ATAATATAATAACAAGGGGCTTAATATAGAAGAGGCCTACATAGTTCTCTAGCTAGGAAAGGAACGCAACATTATGTAGAGGCATAGTAATAGATTTAGATATAACTGCAAAGGTGTTTTAATAGCAAATTAATACTAATTTATATATAGACAACTATTTAGGTAATAGCAGCAGGAAGTTAGCGCATTAGTTGCTAAGATAACTCTACATAGTAGCGTGCTGCATGTTAGCAGCTAGGTAAAGTCTAGACATGTTTAAATCTAGTTTTAATTAGGTTTATAACTATATTCTTTTACAAGCTAAACTATGTAAAAAAGGTAAAAATACTAATATTAATGTACATGTTAGACTGCCTCTATAAAAAGGCTATTTTAGAGGTTAACTACAGTAGTAGCATATAAGGTTATTAAGGACCTATATAAATCCTATCTAAAATTGTTCTAGATTTGCTCTTTATCTTTCATATACCTAGTAGTAAGGCAGTTATAATTACTAAGTATAGAGTATTTAAAATGTTATTATAAGTAGTTTCTAACTTATTATTACTTTATTAGATATCTTATTATATCTTGCACAGTGCTAGAGTAAACTAGCTTTATATAAAAACTTTATTCTTATCTTGCATAGTGTTCTAGATGTAAAGGCTATTTAAATATATTTTAAAGGCTATTTAAATACTATCTAAAGTTACTTTTATTTTACACATATTTTGCGCAAGATACTACTTATTATTTAGTGTATGCTATAGTTTGCGTTATGTTCTCTTTCTAGGTAAAAATTAGGCAAGATTAGTTACTATCTAGACTAGGACCTATTCTAGACTAGTTCTAAACCTGCTTAGTATTATTCTATATTCCTACTATTACTTAGCTACATCTTTTTTTTTTCTACTCTATATATTCTAACGTCCTACTATTAAGAGGTAGTTAATATATGTTACTTTTTACTTCTTTTTTTATCTACTTTTAATTATGTTTATGTTACTATAGTACTACCCTAGCTATCTCTTAATACCCTTAAACCTCTACTAGGGAAATACATCTAGTCTTCTCTACTTAAATAACCCCTTAGTTCTAATAACAAGATACTAGAACTAAAAGATATATTATTTAATAATAATTTTAATAACTTAAAGGATAATAATTTTAATAATGTATGTAATATCTTATATAACCCTTTTAATAGCTAATTAAATAACTTTATAAAATAGCTTTAAGGTCTAGGGTAAATACACTATTTTTATGTTTAGTATAAATTTACCTTTTATAACAGCTAAACTTGCTTATGTTAGGTTAATTTCTAAATACCCTCTAACGCATTCTAGTAGCTATATAATAGTAATTAATGTAGGCAACTTTTATAGTAACTATAAACTGCTTATTAAAGCTTTATAAGTATATATTTATTAAACTTAAATAGATTTTAATTCTAATAAATTTAAAGTATAATATATAGTACTTTTTTAACTAGAAGGTGTTATAGAAGCTAACTACATCTACTTACTTAGGTGTCCTCTATATGCGCTAGACTATGCAGTGTAAAGGCATTAAAGCTTACTAGTATATATGTTCTAACTTACTGTATATAACGCACACGCACATTATAACTTACACATAGGAAATAATTATAAATAAAAGAGCTTTATTTAAAGTTTCTAAGACCTCTAGCTACTTTAATAAGATAATAAAGTATTACTAAGTACTAAAAAAAATATAAGCTAAAAAAAGCTATTAGTAACAGTAAAACCTAATTATAAGTACTAATTAAAGAAGTAAAGAGAACCTATAAGTATATCTAATTTGCTTAAGTTGTTTATACTAATAGAATTTAAGATGCCTATAGTTGCCCTTAATACTATATTAGGTGCTGTAATAAATGTGCTAATATATTAATCTATAAGGACTATTTCTAGTAAGGTATTAATATAGTAATAATTAATTATAATCTATTATATAATTTAATCTAGAATAGATGTTTTTTAGACACACTAGCTAATTGCTGTATTATAAAGCTAGTTAGGTTAAACATAGCCTTTTATAGTAAGTCTGTCTTTTTTTATTCTCTTTTATATTGCGCTTATAATATGTTTAGAAATAAATTATCTATAAAGCTAAAAAAAAATAGTACATTATAATAACTATAAGTGTAAAGTTATAGTATAAATACTTAACAACTTTATTATGTTACCCTATGTACTTATAACCTAGATTAGAACTTATTTCTATAGCCCCTTTACACTAAAAAAGACTTTTATTAAATATATAAAGTAGCTATTTGCTATATGCTGTAAGCTTTTTTACTTTAACTTTATACTTAGTAAGCTTATATTTTAAATTATTAAAAAAGTGTTTCTAATTCTATGTAGCCTAGTTTAAAGCTAGCCTAGAGCTATAAAAGTAGTGCTGCTAGCATTAGGCTTTAACCTCTAAAGAGGTGCATGCTAGCCTTAACAACCTATCACAAATACACTAGTATATATAGAAGGAGAAGCTTCTATGCTAGCCTAATAGGCAAAGCTTTACTAGTATATTATTTAAATATAAGTAAAATTATAAAAGTAAACTTAATTTAGTATAAAATAGCATTAAATTTGTTTTTATTAAGTATACTAATAAGCTATTAAATAAGCATATATATAAAAGATTAAACATAGCAAGTTTAGCATTATAATATTCTACTTTTATAAAAAGTAAGCTAAGGTCTTCCTTAAATAAGAGACATTTAAGATAGACATGTTATATAAGTATGTATGTAACTTTTTTTTTAATAAAATTATTTTTACATGCATGCTACTAGGACATAGTAAAAGTAAGTTAATTAAAACTTTATAAAAACATATTACTAACATTCTTATAGTATTTACTTTTACTTAAGTGCTTATAAATATTAATTACTATAAAACATACTAAATTATATTTAAAAGACTCTTTAAACTACTTAGAAAGATTATAAAGTGTAATATTAAATAGAAACATATTTATAAAAGCAGATTTACAGCTGTAACTATAGACATAGATAGGAAGCAGATAGCTAGTAAGTAATCTTATTTAGCACTAGTTCTAGACTAGTCTCTAACGCAAGTATATAGGGTTTAGAATGTATCTAGCTAAGCTTAATTCTGTATAGAAGAATTAGCGCATCTATTGCATAAGCTGTATGCTTTTTTGCTATGTACACTTCTATTAAAGCATCCCCTGTGCAGTAGAGACTAGAGATAAGACTACTTACTATTAAATTATAATAGCAGACCTAATTACTGCAGCAGATAAGGATAAATATATTAAGCTTTATACTAAACTTTAAAGTATAACTTTTTTATAAGCTTACTTTTACTATTTAATAGTAATTTAACAGTAGATAACACCTTACCTAGTATTACTTACTAGGCAAAGTATAAGAAGCACTTAGTAATTAAAGTAGGCATTAATAATACTTACTTTTTTCTTCTAATTACTTTTATAAAGGCTTTATAACATTATACTAATGCAGTAGAATAAATAGGCTTAAAGTTAAACTTATATAGTAGGTAACTTTATTTTTTACTAGCTATCTTTAGGTACGTTCTTTAATTGCCTTTAATACACCTTATATACGCTGCTAATAACACTGCAGTGCTATAGCGCTTAACACTTATAATTCTTTATAATATTAGGCCTAATTAATCTTTAGTATTTTTTATACTAATAAAAATACTTTTAGTGCTGCTTATTAGTATAATTTTATAGTCTATAAAAGTTCTACCTTTTTTATATTAAGTTTTAAAGTAATTATAGTTTAATTTATATTAAATACTTTACAACATTAAATGCTTAATAAGGTAAATATAATTAATCTTACTTAAGATAATAATATTATCTTTACTATAAATACTACTAAGTATCTTTGTTATAACTCTACTACATTAACCCTCTAGGGTTAAAAGAAGTAGTTAAACCTTTTTATATTATCTACTTCTTCTTCTAAAGTTATAAAGAGCCTTTTAAAGAAATAGTATACTATCTAGCTTTTATTTAATTAATGTTTACAACTAATTTACTTTTATAATAGCTTTACTGCATTTTTAAAAGTTGCACTAGCAGCACTAAGGTATGTGCTTTGCCTTATATACTTATAATAGCTATTTTAATGCAATAAGTTCTTCTCTATTAACAGATATAAATGTTGCTTAGTAAAAAAAAATTATTACTCTCTTAGTGTAAAAAGTAGACTTATATTAGCAACTTTAAGATCTCTTATAAGAAGAAAGTTAGGCATTATTAAGCAAGAACTAGCAGTAGATAGGTAAATGTTACTCTTAATAGTGCTTTAACAGTGTTGCATTAGTGTTTAGCAGAAGCAAGACAGGTGCAGGACTAGTCTTAGACTTAATAATTATAAAAGGTTGTGTAATATTTAATTTAAAACTAGATAGGGAGCTTTTGTACACTAACTCTAGTTGTTCTTAGGCCAAGATGCACCAGTCACGACTTAAGCAGGGGGCATCGGAGTTCGTCGGGCTGGTGCAATGCCGAGCCTCCGATGGTGCACCTTTGGCGTTTTATCGTAGACGATACTGTAGCCTGAAGGGTCACATGGGCTGACCAATCCGTTGCAAGCTTGGCATCTACACTACTATATGTAGCTCGGACCAACCATCCGACACACACACACTTCTACACACACACATACCTGTATACCCACACATATATACACACTGAAATACATCACATTTCCCCTCATCATATTCAAGCCACCTAAGGCAACAGATACAGTGAGCGAAACGGGAGAGGGTGGAGATTCTAGAACACTTCCGGGACACCAGGGATTTAGTGGAAAATTACGCGGAAGTTGCCAGATTGCTCTTTAGTGTTCTATTGGTGTTAGCTACGAATCTATTACCTATTAATCACTCAAATAGGCTTAGTACGCCATTGTAGTATTCCATAGGGCCTCTCGCAGAATTTACGGATTTCTAGAACTAACGTGGAACGGTTTTTTCATACCAGAGTTCCATTCATTCCGGCCATATAACGAGATGACCTAGTTGTTGCAGACTAAATAGTAACATGTCTTCAAATAGAGATATCCACGGATACTAATGGCACCTAGTGCTGTAATCTAATAGCAACTGACTCTCTCAATCGATATTAACGGATACTCCAGTTTGCTTCCATCTTAGACCTACTCTCCTCAAGGTCTCCGCCTAATCCCACTTACAGGCCAAAGGAGTTTGAGGACAGACATAAACCAACGAAGTGTGGAGGAATAAATGGGTCGCCAACGGTCGATGGTATTCTTCTGGGGTTCTAAGAAGGCGAGCATTCAACATTGATTAAAGAACCACTTTTGCTAAGTGGACGATGAGCCAACCGTATTTTGCACCTCTAGGTATTTAGCCTCATGCCACCGTCTTTGACTCCAAAACGTCGATGCCAGGTGAGCCATGCTAGTGAACGTGTCTGGGTGCTCTGCCCCAAGTGCCTTCTCTCTTCCTTTCAGTGCTCGCAGGTGCATCGCTTCCTCCTCTTCGTACTTGCCCTGCCTCAACAACCCCGACCCAAGCTGGTTGACGCCTGTGAGCGTGTCCGGGTGCTCCGGTCCCAGTGCCTTTTCTCTTGCCTCGACACACGTTCGATCCACCTTCTCCGCTGCTTTGTACTCGCTTCTAAGCATGAGATACCATCTTGTCCTTAACCAAATCTCTGCCTGGTTTAACATGCCCTGTACGATTTCGAGGCGTCGTATACCGTGTTAAGGTCCGTGCTGTGTTGTGTTTTGAGGATGAAGGTTAGTGTGCCGTGGGCGATAGTCCTCACGAGCTCTGCCGGCACAGGCCGGGAATCAGCGCGCTCAATGCAGCGCAATGTATCCCGAAGGTAAGTGCTGAGGCGTGTGGCGTGCTCGCGGATTTCGGTCGGCTAGTTTGACTCTGGGGCCACGTTGTCGCCATAGTGCCTCAGTCGCACTAGGCAATGCGCCTGGGTCCAGGAGGTCCAATTGGCCTCTAAGAGAACATATATCTTGCGATTTATTGCGTTGATTCCAAAGTTGAAGTTCTCGCTACTGTCGTGTTTCTATATATATGTGAGAGCTGGTGGGTAGCTTGGTAGATCCTCGGATAGGCGCTAGTGGCTTGGAATCACATGATTATCATGTGATCTTATGCACGACCCTGAGGATCCGTAGAAAGGGCTCGGGTTCGAATCCCAGTTCAGCCATATTGAGCGTTAACCCGTCGCAGTGATTCTAAGTTTCCAGGGAATTAGTCTATTAGGTGCTAAATCCTCCAGGGTTTTGTCTGCCACTTGCACGTGACACAGTCGCACTGATAGCTTGGCAAAGGGGCCCAAGCTCTCAGCCACGCCACACATTCTTATAACACGCGACGAAGACAACAACGCAGAACATTCCATTTCTCAACAACTCCTAGGAGAGGTGCGACCACTTCAACAGCGATAGCGGTAGCAATAAACGCCGTCGACAATGGCGAAGAAGACATCCAATCAAAGTGCCCTACAAGAGAAGGCGCCAGCAATGCAAACAGCCACGGAAAAGAAGACTGCGGATGGTACGATACCTTTGGCGTGTGTTGTCTGCTACTGACTATTCGTGTTCCAGTCCATTTCCCCAAGAAAGTCGTCGGACGCCCTCGCAGGCGCGGGCGGGAAGTTATCCCGGAGGTCGCGCCTGAGCGGTCCAAGACTGACCGTACCCCCAAGAAAGCCGTCGGACCCCCCCCCAAGCGCAAGCAAGAAGCTATCACGGACGTTACGCCTGAGAAACCGAAGGCAGCCGGTCCGCGGAAGCGACCCAAGCTCACGAAAGGAGCCATCGTCAACCGAGCCCCAACCCAGAAGCTCAACGTTTATGTTTGCGGAGAAGTCAGCGCCGGCGAGCTTGGCCTCGGTCCGGATGTGAAAAAAGTCAAGCGACCACGCCTCAACACGAATCTACTCCCCGATTCGGTCGGCGTGGTACAGATCGCTACCGGCGGGATGCATGCTCTCGCGCTTACGCACGATAACAAGATCCTGTCGTGGGGTGTCAACGACATAGGCGCTCTGGGACGCAATACCGATTGGGAAGGAAGGCTGGTTGATATTGCTGATATCGATGCCGATTCCGATGACAGTGACGCTGAGATGAATCCGTTAGAGTCAACGCCAACCGCAATCTCAGAGGAACATTTTCCTCAAAATACAGTTTTCACCCAAGTCGCAGCTAGCGACAGCGCAAGCTTTGCCGTTACGGATGATGGCCGCGTTTATGGATGGGGCACCTTTAGGGTAAGTCAGTTATTTCTTGTCCACTCTCCAGCTAACAGGTCCCAGAACAACGACGGAAAATCGGCATTCATGTTCGATAAGCGTGGCAAGCTTGTCAAGATGCAACGAACGCCGGTTTTACTCCCGACCCTTAAACACATTACCCAGATAGCTTGCGGCGCTGATCATGTCCTCGCCCTAGATAAGTCAGGACGCATTCATGCTTGGGGCAATGGCCAGCAATGTCAGCTTGGTCGTCGCGTCGTTGAGAGGACTCAGACTGGAACCATCACTCCCAGCGGTGTTTCTGTGCCCAATAAAGCCATTGCAGTCGGCTGCGGCTCGTATCACTCTTTCGCTATAGATAGAGATGGTGGCTTGTGGGCTTGGGGTCTGAATAGCTATGGTGAGACAGGCATACCCGTTAGGCAGGGCGAAGAGTCTAGGACCGTCTATCCACCTCAGAGGGTTGGAAATATTACCGGGAAGAAGGTGAAAACCGTTCAAGGCGGAGCCCATCACTCGGTGGCAGTAACCACAGATGGCGATTGCTTAGTTTGGGGACGTACGGATGGTGGCCAGTGCGGCATTAACGTCCACAGCCTTGCAGATGAAAATGTGGTTAAGGACAGTCAAGGAAAGATTCGCATCCTCTCTATACCCACGGCCGTACCTAGTAAGCCTTCATCCGACTAGTACCATGAGTATCAGCTGATGATTTCTAGAAATGAAAGCCACCATGGCCGCGGCTGGTAGCGACCATACCATTGCCGTTACTACCGATGGCAAGGCATACTCATGGGGCTTCAATGCTACGTTCCAGCTTGGACAGGGCGGGAATAACGATGATCCGGGGGATATTGAGATTGCAACGCTGATCGATAACACTGCATTGCGAAACGCGAAAGTTAACTGGGCCGGTGCGGGAGGACAGTATTCCATCATCACTGCTCCCGCCGATGCCTAGCAGTTCTTGAACGGGGACTACTAATTTTTTCTTATTATGCTGCTTAGGAGTTATACAGTCCTAAAAATGTAGATAAAGTTTGCGCATTTGGTATGTTTCCTAATCCATGTACCTGTATCTTGTTCCTGTTTAATCGTGGCTCTTCACGACCAATCGTTGCACTATGGCCTAACATAATTCTTTAAACTCGAGATTTTCTGCATGTTTACATGCCTGTTGAGCAAGTTGGCAGTAAACTGCAATTTAGGAAAGGGCGTGGAAGAAGCTGCAAGTTATTAGTCCTACAGAGAAGTCTTCACGACCTAACTTCTGTTTAGGAGAGATTTGCTCTGAAAAATAAGAGACGAATGGCTTGCATTTACATCTACACTAACTAGAAATAACAGGTCGTTTATAACGACCTTCAACCATCATCCAACGACACTCTAGGAGAATCACAGGATGCAGTGATGACACCCTGCAATTAGGCGTCCGGGTCATTTTGATAGCGTCCTCTGTAGTTATAAGCCGAGATCATCTCTGCGAGCTCACGTGGAATTGGCCTCCTAAAAGGTGGTCAGCGTTCCGGATATTTAGATAGACATCGAGGGAGTACCTTTGTAGTGTAGCTGTTTCCTCAATGTATCTTATTTCCTCTTGGAGGTCCCCTTCACGTCGTCTCAGGGTGGCGTTGGCTCGCTGGACTTGTGATCTCAAAGACCGCTCATTAACCTCGGCTTGTTGCAGTTGCTGCAGTAACTTCTGGCCTACCAATTGTTTAAAGTTAGCCTCTATATGCTTTGGCCCGGTGAGATGTCCTTAGAACTATAGCGATGCAAACATTGCATGCACAAAGGCGGGTACCAGCCAGTAGTTATGTCTAATGTATGCAATTGGATTGCATAGCTGTTGCAGGACTTACGGATGCGGGCCCTGGCTTGGGATTGGCCAACCCTCTCTTCTGCTTCGAGATTGCGGCGGGCAGTCGTAACCTGATTATGAGCGGTCTGGTGTTGTGCGAAGACGTTCTGATATCCAGCCGAAGCCTGACGGTACTGATCCTGGAGCCTCTGTAGTCTTCGCGCGAGTTCGGTACTGCTAGGCATATCGATGATACTAGAGAAACAAGAAAAACGATGCTGATCTATAACTTAATATGGGAATGGAGTTGAAGGTGATTTGAACTTGTTGCTAGTAGTCGCAGTTCAATGGCAACTTATATAGTTCCAGACTCTGGCTTCAACACGGACGCAGCAGCGCCTTGTTACGGCGCTTAGTTTGACGAGACTGGAGACTTTGCATAGCGGCTATCGTAACCCTTAGCGCTGAAGTAAGTAAGAAAATGCTCTCTTAACATCCAGCCGTTTCGCTCGTCCCAGTGTGAACCCATACCTAGGCATTGCCCTACTGACAAGGAGACGAAACAGATCCTGAACAGGCGCAAACGCGGCGGCTAACGAATCATGAGTGGAGAGCCGGGAATCCAAGATGTGCCTCTTTCAAATAATGATTGCACGTACTGCCTTGCCACAGCTTTGAGTACTTGGACTGGAAACTACTCCGAAGGCGGCCAAGGGCGCCTTGGGAAATGCAGCACACCATATAGAATCCTTCGGAAGGGGGTCATTGACCACCGTACTTGCGACCGCCGTACCAAGGCTTGCGTGGAGGAGAATACGGCTTGTTGGTACTTGCCGGTGGTCACAGCCGACTTAGTGACGATAGTTGAAAGTTAGGACGTGTGTCCGCTCCGAAGAGACGATGCACGCCTGACCAACAGAACCTGCATTTCCATAAAAATAAATGATTGGCCAACTATCGGGGTCTTCGAAAAGTCTGGTGGCGATACTATCCCCGTTTCATCTCTGCCCAGGAAGGCTCTCAAACGTCATGTTGGCGCTTAGGCGTGTGCCGGCGCTTGGGCGCGTGCCGGCCACTCCTGTTGACTGCTAAGCTTACTGGCCAATAGCGCTGGCAGGGATATGGAAAATACGGGGCAATATGATATTGGAGATTGCCGATATATCGGCGATATGAATCTCCGATATCTGGGTCAAATCTACCTGACTACCTCAGCCATCATTGCTTTGATTATTTCGTTAATAGCAATGCCATCTTCCCGCATCACCATCGGTTTTTGAACATTTCACGCTATTTTACAATCTATTCCTCATGTTGCTAATTCACGTACCCTTAAAACGCCACAGAAGATTTCGCTCAAGGCCTTTGTCAAACAGGGTGTTAAGAACGTAGCTGGGGAAAGGAAGAAAATATCGTCAATGGCAAACAAGACTTAAAAGAACTTCAGTAAAAGACAGTGAAAAACTATACATGAACATTAGCGCTATGGGCTCAGTAAGTCTACTATAACATCTCTAAGCCAGCGCACCTCACTAACATGAATTTTTAATACCAGATATAAGAAATTAAATCTGGAAGCTAGTCCAAATGATACTGTGACATCCAAAGATTTTGTGATGACCATTGCACTTGGAATCAAAGGGAGCTATAGTGACAAAAAGCCAGGCTTGTAAACTATGGTCCAGTATTACAAAGACTTCACTGCTGGCTGAAGGCGAGCTAGAATAGAGGATAAACAGGAAAAGGAGGAGAAGAATGAAGAGAAGGAGACAAAAGGGCTGGTGGAGATAATAAGCCCAAATGTGATGCTGCCCACCTTAAATGTAAGTCTCCCGCAGCCAACTAAGCATCTTATAGCATTAGTACTAATTGGACAGTTCATCAAGTACGAGCTGTACAATATCCTTAAGCTACCCTACAGAAAGAAACTGCAGTAATATAGCTCACAAATTCATCTTCTTCACCTAGGAATGTAGTAGTGGAAGAATAATTAGTTTGTACTTCTAAAGCAATAGCATAGAGTTAAGATATAGGCTCTTACTATAGCCTACATTTTTAATACCTTAAAGATTAGCAAATACATAGAATCTACATACCCCCTTAGTTCTAGTAGAGGCTTATGTTTTTAGGTAAGTCTGTCTTAAAGTAGCCTTGCATAAACTAATAGCATTAGGTTAGGATATAATCTTTGCAGTCTTTTATAACAAGTGTAGCAATACAGAGTTTGCTATACAACTCTAGTAAGATGTAATTTATATACCATTTACTCTAGACAAAGAGGTAAAATAAATTATTTTTATATATGTACCTAATGCTAGTTATAGAATAGACTAGGGAATGCATTGCATAAAAGTGTTAAGACTTAGCTACTGTTTTATAATCTAATGCTTATAATAGTTGCTATATGCGTTGCAAGGAATGTATTTAAAGATTACAGGTTAATAAACAAAGTTCTAGCACTAGAACCTTTAGAAGATAAGCAAATAATTTAACCCTACTAGAACCTAAGCATCTAGGGCCTGCCCTTCTTTAAGGGAAGTGATAGAAAGATATAGACTGCAAGCACATTTAGTTAATATTTTTAAGAATAGGGTTTCTATACCAGCTACATAAAAACCTCAACAATGCATGATTTTAGAGTAGAGGATCTAATCCTTACTAGTATGTATATTATTTTATAGTACTATATAATCTCAACTTATGCTGTACAGATAGAAATTAATTGCAAGACGCAAGAATAAAACAGGGTGGACAGAAGGATCTGGCAGTGTTTTATCACTATGCAGCCAACAATGCTGGAGTAGATGGGTTAAGCAATCTTTTTCCATGATTAGAAGCATTGTATGGACATTGCAGACCATTCCCATTCTTTGCTTATCACTTAAAACCTAGAACTGTGGCAATGATTGCCGGCAGAAAAGTGGCATAAGCTTGAGCAAAGCCCCAAGTTCAAGAGCATTGAAACAAGACTTGAGGATCCCTCCGACGCACTATCAAAGAATAAACGGAAGGATCCGCGGGCTCAGAAACGAAAGGTGATTTCGGAAATGCTTCATGAGTATCAGGAAGAACAACCTACTCGATCCGTGAGCAAAGTCAATGTGTAAGCAGCTCAGGACTATGTCACATGACTGTCGGCGGTCATGCTCCGACCTACATATAGACCTTGCCTCCCTGGGACAAGGCATCAAGCGAACATCAATCAATTGCTCTTTGCAACCTGCTTTTTACACCTCCACAACTACTCGCCAACTGCTTACACAATGCCTATACGAAAGAATGTACTAGTCATCACAGAACCATATCCCAACAAGCATATAAACTCATGCCAGTGCGAGACTGTCTGGCATCTAGCATGCTTATCGAGGCCGCTACGTGTAGCGATGTAGGCAAGGCTGTCCTCCAAGATCTAATTGAGCTCTATTTGCAAGAAGAGGTGTCGCCTTAGGTGGCTTGAATATGATGAGGGGAAAATGTGATGTATTGAAGTATGTATATGTATGTAGGTGTACAGGTGTGTGTGTGTGTGATGATGATGATGATGATGTCTTTATTACGCCCGGCTCTAGCCTAGAGGGCACTAGTGCGTTATTACCTAAGCGCTTCCTTGGTGATGGCTTAACTCCTTGTAGCCCTTACATGCCTCCTGCTCTGCTATCTAGCGTAGTTGTTACATATCCCTCTAATTATAATTTATAGTAAGCGTTCTTAAAGTCTCTTTTTTAAGTGTTTAAAGTCTTTTTATTAGCAAGTAAAGTAGAGCCTACTATTATGTAGAGTGTTACGACCCACGATTGGACCGTAAGTAACTAATTAGCAGTGCCCCACAGTTTAAACAATTAAGGATGGAAGATTCTTAACCCTGTCCTAAATTAATTATGTAATCAGATAGAAGAAAAATAGCTTTAGCTATTAGACAGATGTATAGAGGAATACATTGTCTAATAGAGAGGCTACAACCACTTGCTGTGCGCGCAGAGCATGCATTGCATGTAAACCTTTGTATATAGTTTTAATCATAACTATAGTTAGAAAGCTGTAATTACTGTTTAGTCTTTACATACATAATAGACTAAAAGGCATAAACACCTTTCTAATAAGAGTTGTGCTGCCTTGTATATCTTTTAAACGCATATACTTTTTATTCTATTCTATAGTAGATTAGTTTACTAGCTACCTATACAGCTTTCTAGGCTAAACTATAACCTGCTTTCTTCTCTCTTACTACACCTACACTCTGCCTAACAGACTATACACCTAATTAAGCTAAGTTCTTCCTTACTTCTGTTAAAATAAAAAGGCTGTAGCGCTCCTATAAAATACTATTTTAATAAAGTAAGGATTATAATAGTAATTACCTTCTCTTTATAAAGTATAGTTACTCTAACTTTAGACATTAGCATAACAGGCGCCTCTTCTGCTAGCATTAGCTAGATCCTTTTAGCAACAGAAGAAGTATAGAACTAATAAATATTATATCTCTACTAAAAGTTAGACTAACTCTAATAATAAGCCTAATAAGAATTCTACTATGTTTAATAACTAGAAGCTCTTTAGCTAAAAGTAGCTAACTTTTAAAACTAAGTAAATAAAAAAACTAGTGTAAACTTTAAGAAAACTCTACACTTAGCCTTTTTTAAAGCATTTAATAGTATAGCTAAAGATCTAAAACTATTCTTTACTTAATACTACCTCTATATATAATATAATAAGAGTGCATTTAAAACTAATAAAAAAATATTTTTTTAAATAAGCCTACACTTTAAAAAATCTCTTACTATATAGTTCTAACCTTATGCAGATAACTAGATAAACTATAAAGTAAATAAAAAACTTCTGCTACTAAAGATATAAAAAATCTTTAAAGACATTAACTTCTTTAAATAAGCTCTAAATATAATATATAAGCTAGTTAACTAAAAGAAAAAAGTAGTTAATAAGATAAACTTTTTTTAACAAGGAAAAAGTATAGTCTAGAATTACACTACCTACTTTAAGAAGTAACTAGCTATTTATAAATAAATAAATTAAAAAGCTATAAAATAAATGTTTTATAATAAGCTTTTAGACATAATTAAGAATCAATTTACTTATATAAAAAAGCTTAAGTGCTTTAAGGATTATATTACTAAAGCACTTACTTATAACAAAAGATATGCTAATGTAAAAAACAGGGTATACACTTCGCAATCAAGAGGTGTATTGACCAACAAGGGCGTGACTGTGACATAGGAGTACGATTGATACCCGCCCAATTCCTAAGGCGATCCTCTGCTATCTAAAGAGGGCTTCTACAACTGGCTATATACTTCTCCAGAGAGCCAGGCACGGCAGCGCTGGTAGGGACAGATCTAGTATGCCGTAGGTCCAGTTCAAAGAATTACCTGTCTAGGATGCCCGGCTTTTTAGGCGAGGTAGGCATTGTCTGGGAAGTGCGGGGTTAACAGCACAGTTCAGGAGTCGTCCGGGACTGCCTAGTGCAGTCTAGGCCAGTCTACGACAGCCTAGGAAACACCTGGATAGCCGGTCGTTACAGCTAAGTGCTATAAAAAGAAAAGAATAGGTACAGTAACTTTAAAGCCTAACTAGTTTTTTTAAAAAAAAAGCTTTAAGTTTAATAGTAAACTTATAAACTTTAGCTACACTAAATATACACATAGCTTACTTAAGAAAAAAAGTAGTTTCTCTAAAAGCATAAAGCTACCTTTAAATAAAAAATAAAAAAGATAGCTTAAAAAAAAGTATGCTTTAACTATAAAAAAGTAAGCTACTTTTATTAGAAATGCCTAGACTCTAGAAAGCTAAAGAATAAAAATATAAAGTTAGCTATAAAGGCTATATATGCTAACGAAGGCCTAATAACAGAGGAGCTTTATAATAAGCTAAATAAAAAGCTTTACTAGAAGTGTAAAGCTAACTATAAATCCTCTAGCTATCTAGTAGACTACTAGGAGGTAAAAGTCTAAAAGAGAGACAGTATCTTTAGAGCTATTAAACAGGCTGTAGTTCTTAAAAGAATAAAAAGCTACTTATAAGTAACTAATTACATTAAAAATATAAAAAATAGTAAAAAATAGTACTTTATTTAATAAAACAGAACAGGCATCTTAGCTAGAGAACTTAAATAATAATTTAAAAAAGAGGACTATTAGAAATATAGAGAACCTTATAATCACAACCTTTATAAAATAGAACTTTATAAAGTAGCCCTAAACAACAACTATAGCACTTATAAAGTTATAAGAAAAATTGCTATAATTTATTATAAAATACTAAATAAAAAAAAGCAATATAAGTTTTTTAAAAAAATATTAGTAAAAGAAAAGGTACTAAACTAAAGCATTACTTTCTTCTAAATCTCTACTTTATTAGAAGAGAGAGTAAACACCCTGCTACTAATAATAGCAGTAATAAGAAAAGAGCTTAAGAAGCAACAGAATTATAAATACTATATTTTATATAGTAGCAGATAACTGTAAGGCCGAGATGGTGCTTACGTGCGACGGGTATATATACTATTCTATACGCAATAATTAACTGTTAGTTAATTATTTGCACCTTTTTAGTTGTATTAGCGTAGTGGTACAGAGCTCTGCCCTTACATAATAATTAACTAACAGCGGGGTACAGTTAGTGTTTAACCCCCACCTTAGTCAGCTTTAAGCTAGTTTTTAGACTGAAACGTAAGGCAGCCTCTTCTAGCGCCACGTTGTTGCTGCTGGAAGGTCTAGTGTATATGGCTTAGCTGGCGTGGGCCACTAAGCGTTGTTATTTATCCCGCGCCTCTAGGCCGCAGGTGGTCAGCCTCTGGCCGGTAACTAAGACATGCGCATAGGCGCCTCTGAGCTGCGGGTAGGTTATGTGACGCCTGGGACATGCGTCTGCTAAGAAGGGGGATAATGTAAGGCCAGGATGGCGCTTACGTGTAAGGCTGAGATGGTGCTTACGTGCGACGGGTATATATACTATTCTGTACGCAATAATTAACTGTTGGTTAATTATTCGCACCTTTTTAGTTGTATTAGCGTAGTGGTACAGAGCTCCGTCCTTACAATAACACTATAATTTCTAATGCTAATATAAGAATTACCCCTTTTAAATTATTTACATAAAGTAATACCTATAATAGACTTAGGTACAGCCTATACCTATCTGCACTAACCTAGAATAATGCCTATACACCTAGTACTTATGCACTAATAAGTACTGCATCTAGCATTAGCTAATAAAGCATAGAGCTAGGTAGTAGCTAATTAGATTACAGGAGGCAGACAGATTTATAGACACTATAGTAGCACAAGCTATAGCATGTAAAATGCTAAACTGCTAACATTACAGCATAGGCCTTATCTACAAAAGAAAACTATAAGTTAAATGTAAAGAAAAAACTAAATACACCTTTTACTATTTTTAGTAAAAGGCTACTTAGTAAAATAACTAAGACCTCTACTATTACTAAGTAGAAAGCATTAATTACATAGTTAATAAGTGTATAGTAAAAGAACACTAAAAATTTAAGATATAAGCTAATAGCGCCTAAAAGCAGATCTATAACATTCTAGCTATATAAAAATACAACCTAAGCCTTAATTATAATAAAATCTACTATAACATAAGAACTATAGTAGCTGTACAACAGAAGCTTAAGAAAAGCCTAACTATAAAATTTATAGTTAGATATAGAACTTTAACCTAGAAAGGTTTTATGCTAATAGACAGTAGTTGCACATTTACTATAATTAATTTAACATAAGTTAAAAAACATATTATACTATTTAAAGCTAAAAATAAACTTTTTTTTAGTATTTTTTACTAACACCTTTTTAATTAAGTATAGTAGAGGAAAGATCTAACTTAAAATAGTAGAACTAGACTTAGACACTAAGGCTATAAGTAACTAAACATTACTAAACATACTACTACTTAGAGGAAGATACTAAGTTATACTAGGCTATAACTAGCTATAACGTACTTCACAGGCAAGTTGCTTACACACCTAAGTTGCTTACTTTTGCTAAGACCCTACTAAACTACTCTTTCTACACTAATGCATTCCCTACAACACTACTTAAATGCACTAAAAGAATGTTAGATACAGCTTACACTCTAAGCTTTTAAACAAGACATAAAACTCTTAAAGAAATGTGCTGTAGCTATATGTAAGGTTTTATAAAAAATAATAAATAACTATAGCGCTAAATAACTTTTATAAGCTAATTCTACAGCTAAATTATAAAGGCTAGGTAATAAAAAAAAGCAGGTAATTATTAAGACTATACTTAAGCTATATGTGTAAGGAATTTCCCCTTAAATAGCATTTATAGCTAATATAGCTAATTCTTTGCATGCTAAGTGTAATCTAGGCTATGTTTACATAAACTAGTCTAGTACATTTATAAAGTGTTATTTAAAGCTTAAAGTAAAGTTTTAAGCATAAGTATAGTTAAAAGATATTTAGCTAATTATAAACCTTATCTTACTAAAGTTATACATGTTATTATTCTAGATGCTATACTTAGCTTTAATATTCTCTATAAGGCTAAACTTACTTTAAATTACTCTAGAACTTTTATAAAGAGCTTTTTTATAGTTATACTTACGCTTAAATGTTACTTTAAGCTCTAAATAACACTTTATAAACATACTAGGCTAGTTTATGTAAACATAGCCTAGATTACACTTAGCGCGTAAAAAATTAGCTATATTAGCTATAAATGCTATCTAAGAGGAAATTCCTTGTGTATATAGCTTAAGTATAGTCTTAATAATTACCTGCTTTTTTTTATTACCTAGCCTTTATAATTTAGCTGTAGAATTAGCTTATAAAAGTTATTTAGCGCTATAGTTATTTATTATTTTTTATAAGACCTTATATATAGCTATAGCATATTTCTTTAAAAGTTTTATGTTTTATTTAAAAGCTTAGAGTGTAAGCTGTATTTAACATTCTTTTAGCGCGTCTAAGTAGTGTTGTGGGGAATGCATTAGTGTAGAAAGAGTAGTTTAGTAGGGTCTTAGTGTTACAGTATCCTCCCTAGATCCCAGACATAACTGTATTAGACGCGTACTAGAGTATTATTAGTGCACGTCTAACACAAACACAACACAACATAGACATAAACTTAATGTCACGGTATCCTCCCCAGATCCCAGACATAACTGTATTAGACGCGTACTAGAGTATTATTAGTGCACGTCTGACACAAACACAACACGACACAGACATAAACTTAAGCACAAACCGCCTTAACACTAACTAAACCTAGAACAGGCTTAATTTATACCTAAAGCGCTTAGACTTCTAAGCTAAGTATTTAATTACTAATTTCCTCCTAAACCTTCCTGTTCCTCACACAACGTCTTGTACCTACCATGATACCTTACATAGTAATTGAACTAGACCTCTGTGAAGCTCTATAACCTTACTCGTGCACAATCGTGACACTTAGCAAAAGTAAGCAACTTAGGTGTGTAAGCAACTTGCCTGTGAAGTACGTTATAGACATAACTTTAAGATTAACTAGAAAATAATAATAATACAACTTAAATTTAAACACACACACATAACATAGTTAGTATGCTATAATAATAGATGCTAAGCACATCTATAGGTAAAATAAGAGTTAAGTTATTTTCTAAAAAAGAAGAAACTTTAAAAATTCCCCTATTAAGAGCTAAAAGCGCGCGTAGTTTATATAATAAAAAAAGAACTAAAGAAAGCTCTCTTAAAAAAATTTAAACATAATAAAAACATTAAGTAGGTTAGAATCTACTGCATTATAGAGAAACCTAAAAAAGGACTACTAAAAAAGTATTAAAACTATAAAAATATGTTTATAACTCTAGATAATTTAGAAAAACTTCCTTTTTATTAGCTCTAGGACTATGTAATAAATCTTAAGCTAAACTCTTAGCTAAAAACACATAAACTCTGCCCTCTAATAAAGGCACAGAAGAAAGCACTACAGGAGTATGTAGACTAAATGCTAGTAAGAGGCTATATTAGGAAAAGCAACAGCTCTATAGCATTAGCAGTAGTCTTTATAAAAAAAAGAACAGTAAAGTTAAAGTCTACTAAGACTATTAAACTTTTAATAAAAACACTATAAAAATTAGTTTCCTTTTTTTATTATTTAAAACATTATAAATTAGCTAAAAAAAACTACTTACTTTACTAAGTTTAATATTTAAGACAGATTTAATAAAATAAAAATAAAAAAAGTATAAATAAATAATAGCTTTTAGAACTTTATTAGCACTTTATAAACTTCTAGTTATACTGTTTAGCCTAATAAATGCTTTAGCTACTTTTTAAAAAGTAATTAATACTGCCTTTAACCTATACCTAGACATTTTTATGCTAGTTTACCTTAATAACATTCTTATCTATATAAAAGAAGATAAGCTAGACTACATAGTAAAAGTATAACTAGTACTAGATAAACTTTAAAAGTATAGACTCTACCTATAGCTAAAGAAATGTAAATTTAATGTCTAAGAAACTAAGT